TGTTATCTCGTCTTATTTACTCCCAAGGCGATGTTTCTGGCTTTTTTTTAGAGTCGCTATCTTATTCAACAGTAATCATCAAACATTCTTGTTACGTTAACTCCAAAAATCACCAGTGCTTTTTGACATTTCACCGGCATTCAGCTTAGAGTACCCAAACATATTTATTTTTACTTAAAGATATGGGTCTTCCATATTATTTAGTTGTTGACTTAAAAGTTCCATTCATCCTTTATTCTACTTTGGAGAGTTAGGGAAATTCCACCAGCTATTATCCGCCAAGCTTCTCACAATCAACAAGTCTCAAGGAAATGCATGGGGCGTCATCTCTATAATGTAAATGGACATGAGGCTTCTGGCTTCAACTGGTAACCGATCAATTTGTTGGTTAGGAGGGCTACACTCTAAAAAGACGCTTAGGATTTCAATACATTTCTAAACACTTTTCTTGGGCACTCTTTTAGTACCCTAGCTTTTCCCTTATCCTCATTCTATCCTCTCAGTGGATTTCAAAAAGCTGAACATGTACCACGGAAAAACGTTAAGCATATAAACGTATAATTGGTCACAATTGGTCAAACGTTTTAGAAAAGAGGTAAATAATGCTAAACGATAAACGTTGTTTTTACAGTGTAGATCTGGCAATATAAACCTACACCTACTTAAACAACTGGCTCTGATTCAGCCGAAAACCCCAGTATCTAGCGGCGTGGCGGGGGGGGGGAGGAGTTTCATATCCTGAAGTGATCACGAATATGTACATGTATGTCCAACATCCACTTATCTCCCCTCACTTTAGCGTGATGCTCTACGCTTGTCCCCCGCATACAATCTTGACTACGCCGCTGGCAGCGAAGGAGGAAGGTTGAGAACTTTGAGCTGTTTTGGGGTATATTCCGGTCTGAGCCACCCCCACGCGACAAATACTGGGTGCGTCAGTGATTGAGCGGGTGCATGGAACTTTGCTGACGGCTAGAGGGGTGGTCGGGGAAGGGGGCAACATGTATAGGACTCATTTGACAGAGGGGAGTTAAAGTTACTTTGATTTGACCACATTCTGAAAAAACGTCCTTCGGCTTTGGTTGGCGCTTAGTGACGTTATCTCTAACTTGGTAAGTTGCGAGTGAAAAGAAAAATTATACGACGTGCGGAAAAAACTCAATATGGCGCGATGCTCTCCATGACGCGTCCGAGGTCAGCTGATTACCTATTGTTTTCGTCACTTACATCTGTGGAAATCTAAGCCTACCCTGGATATGACATTTATATCATATAATTATCCATCGGTAGACAGTACACAAGCACATTTAAAGTTCAAAGTTAATGTGATACCATAAAATCCTTTATTAGGTTAAACATTAACACGCTTGTGTCAATATTTGTGACTTCATCCATATCAGAACCAGCAGAGTAATGGCTGATACACGTGTTAAAGCCTTTGGCAATCGGTAAATTAATGGCTTTAAAAATTGTGGAAATTCCCGGCAGCGCGACAGACAGACCCTACGGATATCGAACCCTGTTATGCATTATAGAAGCTACAATAAGACAAGAAGTGATTGATGGGTTATGATAGCGCGTTTTAGACAGCATACAACAAGCCCTAGAAACCCCCGATTTTGTCACACCCAGATGTAACCTGTTTGACTACAATTTCCAAAATCGTTAGGACTGGCTTAGGAAGACCTTGCTCAGTTTACGTTGACCAGCTGTCTAGGAAAACAAGAGGTAAACTGCATTGGTTCGTGGATGCAAAGGGACCATTCAACAGAAGCAAGATCTTGTATTCTGGTAAGCCATCTTTTATTTCAGTGATCGAGATTTTACCAAGTTTAATGTAAGAATTTCGGTGGCCTAAAATTTGAAACGCATGGTTTCCCAAATGCCCTCAGAAATGTGGTGTTACCCCTTTTTAGAAAGAACACTTCACAGGTCAGAAAGCAAACGGTGTATTCGTTTACAAATATTTTGATCAAAGTCCTACAAAACTAATCCCATTAAATAAAAAGAGGATGTTGGAATCGCAAGTAAGGCTTTTGATATCTTTCTTCCCAACACCGTGTTAAATAACCCCGAAGCCCTATTCGCTTTTGAATTTGCCCCCCCCCCCTGCACACCAAAGCTGGATATGCCGCTGCATAATAAAATGCGCTGTTTATAAGCGTTAAACAATAACTCACGTGCAACTACATAAACCTCTCTGTGTGAAATCTCAACCACTGGCATAAAAATCAACGAGTGATGCAAGGTAGGGCTTCAGTCCTATTTTACAAAATTCATCGCCTGAACTTTTATGACTTTGTAAAACTACCGAGAAAAGAACATTCAATTTAAATGTTGTCATTTGAGTCATTCTGTAACACTAATGATGTTTTCAAACGAACTGTGGAAAACAAAGTGAAGATAGTAGAAGCCCCGTCCTCGGTGCTGCAGAACAAATGCTATAAACATTTTTAATTTGACCCTGCAGTAATCCATAATTGATGGCCGAGCCAAAACGTGGATTGTTGGTCAGAACTTTCTTCAGTCACCAGGGAAGGTCGTGTGTTGATCAATGGAGGGCATTAGTTTTTAATTGTACAATACGACTTTATAGAGTATTCCTGCATTTGCACTTGTTGACATGATGCTTTCTACTTAATGTGACATGTTTTCTTGCGAATGCTCATGGCTGCCAAAACCCATACGAAGTGTAACAAATGTAAAGAAATTCAGAAAATGAATAAGAAGATTTCCATAGCTCCTCAGCAAAAGTAAACTTTTTTGAACGTTGTGCGTATTGTATTCATTTCGGCTTCACAAAATATCTTCTAAGGTTGCAATTCTATTGAGGGCTATATTACATGTCTTGGGTTTAAATACTTACTTTTTTCGTATTTTCTCTCCACAGGGAAAATAAGTCGCCTTTGACTTCAAAACAAGGTTGTCAATTGATTCAGGTAAGGATACTCCAAGGTCAGTCCATGGCTGAAGCGCAGGCTCAATTTTTGTAGTCAAATCTTCAGCAATTTACTCTGGTCCGTTTAAAATATAGAAAAAGTACTAGGTATTTAGATTTAAAACATTTATAGTCCAAAAGGTTAACATTACTTTCTTGGTAATATCTGCCCAGAGCTTCAGCTTGGGAATTTGGCTGAGTTTTTACTGCGTTAGATGTTAATTATTTATGTTGTTTGTACATGAACTCATGGCGTCCAGGTCTAAGCTCTTCCCAACTAACTAAAACATTGTTGTATCACACGTAAATGCGTGATTGTGCCCCTTTGATCCCAACCATGATAAGGAAACTTCCGTCGAGAGCTGTTTACAATTATAAAAAAAAATCTTATGACTTCTCTTTATTCAGAAAGTGTCAATTATTCGTAAAAATGTAAATTATACATTCTTGTTAAGAATGTGCACTAAACTGTACATTCCTAAAAAAAACTGGATGGTCAAAATTGACTAAATAGTCAAAGAAATCGCAGATATGGCATTGATTTTCAGTTAAAGTAAACCACTCTTTTTATTTCACTTGCATTTGAAATATATCTTGTTCATTATGACAAATACTTCTTTCATTTTACTTTCTTCACCATTTTGGGTCATTGTTACTATTTTATATGTCGACTGCAATGCTTAGACGGACAGAGTACACTGTTCGAAACGTCGAGTTATTCCCCGGTTCTTCTCAGAACCACACATACTCAAAGAAGAGATAAACACATGGTGTTACCGCAATCTTTACTATAGATCTAATGCTTAGTTTACTCGTCTCTGTGTTTTCTTTTTAAAAATTCGCACGAAACCAATTTATTTTCAGTTGAATCTTGATTTTAACTTCGTCTATTATTAAACTATTCACATGATTTCTGACTACACAATAAAAGTTCATGTGTAACATGAGCAGATTAATCGTTCAGAAACTTGCCTATTCCGCCCTGAGCAGAAGCACCCCCTCATCGGTTGAAAAGGGGGTAATGCCAGTCGGGATTGGTAGCGACGCGTGCAAATCGCATTCATTTTATACTGTCGTTCTTGAAAACCAACACGTGTAACCATTTTCGTCCCAAATCGCATTGTACTTGAGGGGCAATAACTTGTCTGGCCAATGAAACTTGAAGGGGGGGGGGGTGATTGACACCATATGACATTACACT